TGAACTACGCTCTTTCATTCTCTTCGTTCCATTAGCCCTCATTGGATATATATTTGCAGTTGCGGTGCTTCGAGATACGCGGACGTTCCACTTTCTCGCATTCTCGTGAGTTGTGCATTGAGGAAAAGATTTTTTTTAATTACACTGTTATTGACGTCATTTTCAATTAGTTCATTCATGAATACGTTTAGTTCATTTATTATTTATTTATTTGTTCATTTATTATTTTTGGTATTTTTATTTTATTCGCTATTATTTTTATTTAGGGGAGGTTGGGGTAAAATGGACACTTTTGACTTTTTTTAAATATTAGTGACGGGTTGAAATGTTGATGAAATTTAATCTTTTTTTTTTCAATACAAAGAAGAATTCTTTCCCTTTGTGATGAGCCTAAACTGAGCTCTATTGATACATTTGATTCTGGGTTATGAATAATTTTAAAAAAGTCTAAAGTGTCCGTTTACCCACCCTCCCCTATTATTATTTCATTTATTTATGTATTATTCGAAAAAATCTCATAGCAAAAACATTGTTAACTAAAATAATTTGGGTGTTTTAGGGTAATTATTTAGCTGGAATTCCGATGATAAATTCAGTTGTTGTTGGGTTGGGGTAAAATGGACACTTTTGACTTTTTTAAAAATATTAGTGACGGGTTGACATGTTGATGAAATTTAATCTTTTTTTTTTTTCAATACAAAGAAGAATTCTTTCCCTTTGTGATGAGCCTAAACTGAGCTCTATTGATACATTTGTTTCTGGGTTATGAATAATTTTAAAAAAGTCTAAAGTGTCCGTTTACCCACCCTCCTCTATTATTATTTCATTTATTTATGTATTATTAGATAAAATCTCATAGCAAAAATATTGTTAACTAAAATAATTTGGGTGTTTTAGGGTAATTATTTAGCTGGAATTCCGCTGAAAAATTCAGTTGTTAAAGCCCTCTGGGATTCGGCGCAGAGAATGAAAAAAAAATTAAAGTGGGAGTCATGTGCTCGGTATAAGCTCTCGACTCCATCAGCAATAATTAATTTTTCTTAATCATCCATTCTCCCCAGATGCATCTTGCCACCACCTGGAGCACCCTCTCACCTGACTACTCTGGCGTCATTAAAAAAACCCACCATCCCCCTCATTTTCAGTCTGGCGTTCTCAGCTTATCGTAAATATCTCTCAGTGTTTCCGGGGCGAGCCGCGGCGAAGACGAGAGCAAGTTTTCTAGGAAGGGGGGAAGGAGTACGACAAGAGGGTGAAAAAAACCGGGGTATAAAAAGGAGTTTACTTCTGGCACAAGTCCAACTGATTACAGCGAGGGGAATTGAAAGACAATCGTTTGCTTTCATATCGCTGTTTTACTGTCTAATCATTCGGTTGTGAAGTGGAATGAAAACATATTTTCTGCATTGGGGGATGATACCAGCGAGTATGACAAAAGTAATGTCTCAAGTTGAGAAAATAACGTAAATTTAGATTAAATTTCGAGAAATAATTGCACTGAAATTCATGGTTTTCACTGTTAAAAATTTGTCGCTGAAATTTCCGACACAAAGTTTGATATTTTCACTTAAAGTGTCCAAACAATTAGTACTAGTTTTTACAATGACGTAATTCGTGAAATTGATAATGAAAACTAATTATTTCCAACACACAAATTATCTTTCCTCATTTTAAATGAACTTAACGAAAAAATGCATTGACATTTCAATGTAATAAAAATTTTCCTCTTCAATTTCTCTATTTAATATTGAAAATCATTTCGTCTTATTTGACGAAATAAATAGTTCATTACTTCCAAATGAATCCCTTGTTACATGCTTATGAATTAATTCTCAAAGTTTTTTACACGTAATAATAATTATTACGTATCTAATAATTATAAAACTGAATAATCAATTATTTGAATTAATAATAATTCTTTTTAATAAAATGTAATAATGGTTTTAATTAATATTATTTCCCGTTAGAAGGATGGTGGTGATATACAGTAGTATACATATCCCAATAATAATAACAATAATAATAATAATAATAATAAAAATGATGATGATGATGATGATAAAATGTAATAATTATAAAACGCAAAAATAAATTATTTGAAATATTAATAATTCTTTTCGTCAAATGCCATCAAACCTCTGTTATTATTATTCCATTAGTGATTCAAAAAATAGAAGAAAATTTTCAGAAAAACACTTCTCTCAGTCCATAAACTTGAGAATATTCGCCCTAGAGGTTCTTCGAGTACATAAGTCTGATTCGTCTCCCTCGAAATTGTCTTTGTGATCAAGAATCCCTCACGCAGCTAATTGGTGCACCGAAGTAGGCAGTGTAGCTCGGTGTGCGGTGACCTGAACAAGGAAACACTCCTACAAGCACCAAAGACGCTGATGTGAGCACCATGTTGAAGCAAGTCGAAGACACGACAGGATGTCTAGTCGGGATTTCCGACGGAAGTGGCGGAGGGAACGCACACCGGCGTCATAGGAAGTTGAAGAAACAGTTTCGCCGAGCCACCTGTCTCTTGGAGAGAATGAGAGCCAAAGGTACTTTTCCCTGAACTAACAGCTTTGGACTTGTTATTTCACGGTGTCTCAGGGCTGAGAGAGGAAACACTGATATCTCCGGGGATTAGGATTGCCGGGAAAAGTGGAACAATTGCGATGAAAATTCTGGAAATTCTGGGCTTGGAGTGGGTGCGGGACAGAGGGATTCATTTTTTAGGTTTCGATGGGAAATAGCATTCTTTAAAAAAGGTGATCTTACACCCGAAAATAATACCTTATTTTAGGATTTCAAAAGATCTTAAGTTGAAGCGTGAAATTCGTACACGGAGAGAAATATTCAAGAAAAATTACGGAACATTTCACGTAATCCGCAAGCGAGAATCGTTTTCAGTGAATTTCTATAGGAATATAAGAGAATAAATCTGAAACGTTCAGTAAATTTTCGGGTCTGTCACCGAAAAAATACGAAAAAGTCACGTAATTTTTCTGGAAGTTGTAAAATCTAACAGAAACTTCAAGACTTGATGTTTAAGAATTTTTACGAAAAGTTCCGGAAAAATTACGGAACGTGTTGTTAAAATCTCCCCCTCACGGTGACTCATGGCTAGCCGTGAGGCGTCGGACGGATGAGTAATTTTTACGGAACAGATCGTAGAATTTACGTGACGATTGACACTTTTTATTGAATTTTACTTCTGCATTAATTAAATACGAAAGCCCGTGCCTAGTGGCTCACTGAGTTCACTCCACGGAATCCGCACATGCCCCGTCTCATCGTCCGAACAAATTAAGTCTGTACTACTATCATTTTTTCTCGCAGCACAACCCCCGAAACTTTCCCGAGTCGAGTGTCACAAGCGCGCGGCCTCTCCTTTTTTAATCCGAAGAGAAACCCGGAGTTACGATCCATCATCTGCCGATGAAAACGATCAGTCAAGGGATTCCGAATGAAAGTCGACCCCGAAAACACCTCAACATTTTTCTTCTACTTCTCCCATTCAACTTCACTTGCAAAAAACCCCCTCGCGCCCTCGAGGAAACGAACACAACACACTCCCCATCAAATTAATCCGTAATTCATTCTGTAAATTGAAAACTCAAACAATACCGAGCGTTGATAGACGAGGAGGAAAGCTTCCGTCTAATACAGCCAAGCGTTTTCCGTGCTCTCGCGCAATTATGCGAGCAAACATAATAAGCCATTTGTGAGGGAAAAGCCCCGTCTCTCCTAACAAGTTATATTTGCTGGTCTCCTCTCCTTCATCCGGACGAATCGTTTCTCGAATGAATTTCAAAGCTTTAGTTCTACCATCTCTTCCATTTTCCACTTTCTACTCAGCGTTATCCTTATATTTAGCTACCTCACCGCCGATATATCTGTATTCACTCCGTGTACATGGAGTCTACACTTTGACTCTCATTTATACATAATCCCCCCCTGATACACTACCTGGAATAACTCAGCGACGGATCAGGATTATGTCTTACTTAATCGGTATATTTTATTCACAAACATCCGGCTAACGCTTCCCACACGTCCCATTTTATTCGAATATCCGGTTAATACCGTCATCAAATAATCCATAAATAAGAGATTTGCATCTATCACGCAGGGTTGAGAATTGCTCCGGGAATTTTGGGGGAAAAAATTTGGAGTTTTTGAGAATGACTCTGTTTTTTGGTATACTGGTGAAAATTTTTGGATGGTTTTCGGGACACTTTTCGGAAATTTTTGTAACGTTTCAGTTCCACTGAAATTTCAAGGAATTTCGTCAGTGAAAATTCAGAATGTCATGGAAACATCAATGACAACTGCAAATTTAAGATTAATTATTCTCTGAAAATGGAGAAAATTTAGGTGAATGTATTCTTGAATTTTCAATTAATTTGAGGGTGAGGAGAACGACTCAACCCACTCACTGATTTTTTCACAAATTTTTGGCTGAGATTTTTGGGACAGTTTTTGGAAATTTTTATATTATCAAAGTTTCAAGTTCTACTGAAATTTCAAGTAATTTAGTCATTGAAAATTCAGAATTTCGTGAAAAAATCAATGAAAACTGCAAATTTCAGTTGATTTATTCTCTAAAAATCAGAAATAAACAATTTCAAATAAAAACGTTCACTGAATTTCCCATGCATCTTGAAAATTCAAGAAAATTGGGTTTTCCATGTTAAAGAATCATTGATTTTTCAATGAAAGCGTGAATTTTCAACAGATTGAAAATTCAGAGAAGTCTGCCTGAATTTTCAAAATTTTCGAGGTTTTTCAGTGCCGTATGGACCTGAAAATCGAGAATTACTTGAATATTCAAGAAATCAACTGATTTATTAACGAAGAATTTTACAGAAATTTCACATAACTTTGTCATTGTCAAAAATTTCAAGCTTTTTCACTTGAAATTTCAAGAGTGATTTGCTAACAGTGTGGTAACCCTGGATTTCCTCAAATTTCCACCAGTCGAAATGATGAATAATTTTCTCCTGTTGCAGGGGGCGGGTACGAGTGGCGTCTGGATAGTGACAGTGATATTTCTGACAATCGGTAGTTGGATCGGACGAGTCGGGCCCCGTCCGGCTGACGGAGAAATAGCAACACTAACGTCCACCCGTGAACGTCTGCAGACTGTGCGTCAAGTACTCACTGAAGTACCACTGATCGATGGTCACAATGACTTACCATGGAATATACGTAACTTTGTGCACAATCAACTCGGCGAGTTTGATTTTGACAAGGATCTACGGCAAATTGCGCCGTGGAGCAAGAGCGCCTGGAGTCAGACGGATCTCTCCAGGTTGCGGCAGGGAATGGTCGGTGGTCAGGTAATTAAATTGATTTTTAATCCGATAATAACTCAGAGGAAGTGCAAATGTTCCCGACGAGAGCTAGGATAGAATGACGTAAAACGACCCGTCTTTCATCCTCGATAATTCGAGAATGGCAGAGTGAAATTTCCCAATTTTTTTTCCATTTTCAAGGTATTTTTTTATACTTCAAAATGAGATGTAACTCAGCCCAATCGCATCGTTTGATTACGAAATATTGACGATTGAACACGTGATGAACGATTCAACTTTATGGAAAACAATTTCAAAAAATTAATTCTTCTATAATTCCTCGAATTTTGATCTTCACTCCCGATTTTTCTCATTTAAATCATCATACCCGTGCATTAAACCATCACTATCACCCCCAATCATAACAAAAAACCCTCCCAGCTCCCCTCCCCTTATCGAATTCCACAGACCCAAGTACAAGCTCTAATGTATGCACGGATGTACGCCTGAATGCCATCCATAATGCAACCCAGTGCCCCTGGAGGATGTGCCGAGAGCCCTGAAGTATCAGAACGGGCATATCTCCACACGTACACACAGAGCACATCCAAAACCTACGAACTCACCATCCAAAGCGAGTTTACAGTGTGCACTACGGTGCAGCACAGTAGCTCCTTCCACATTTTTTTCTCTCCCTTTGTGTCAGCACGACTCCCCCCCCCCCCCCCCCCC